GTGGAATTTAACGTTAGCTTAACAGCTGGACCAGGGAACGCATCTACGTTGAAGAATTATGCAATCTTCCAGTCGAACGGACAGAAGACGACCATCTGAACTTGCGGACAGGCAGGTGGCTAATTACCACGGGTTAGAGTTGAGACGTAGCGGGCATTCTCAGACCAGCCGACAACTTTGATGTCCAGAGTTCAAACAGGATAGCGGGTCCAGTTGTCTAAGCAAGCGAATTTCGCACATTAATGTGATACACGTAATCAACCTAGTGATGTCTAGTGATGTTACAACATACTCGTAATCACAAGGGCGGAACTTGGACAACAGGGTAGAACATTTACGGATGCCTGTGACCTGATTGATTCTATTATACTTTCATACTGTGCCAAAAGAGAAAATCTAACCATTTTTCGAAAATAAAAATTTCAAAAATGGAAATATTTGAACTACTGCATGTAAACAGTGAAAGTAGGTGCAAACATTAGTTAAGCAATATACAAGTAACCTGCAGTCTTCATCTTTTATCATCTTACCAAAAGTATATCTATATCGATAAACGCCTTTTCCCTTCTCCCGAGGATACTCAGTCAGCTCAATATATGTCACGAGTCTTTATTAGGCTGTATCTGTTTAACCAGGGACTATTACAACCAACCAATAATCAACTTCGGTAACAATAATAACCACGTATTGATGCCCTTCCAAGTAGCGACAAGTCACACACAAGACATTTTTTGTGGGTTCCAAGGAGGAAAAAAAAAAGAATTGATCCACTGCCACCTGAAAAGAATGTTGTAAAAGGCAACTAATTAGGACTGCTGAAATCAGATGTGATGGGGCGAAAGGCGCAGATATAGCAGCGTATTTGTAAACCACAATAAACTATGCCAACCGCCATTTCAAGGGCGAACAAAAAAACAAAAAAAGAGATTAGCTGCCCGTGACATGACCATTTAGCACTTCGCGCCCGCTATCGCAGCCTAGCTGTTAACCACAAGACCGAGCGTAGGGCGCAAATATCGCAGCCTAGTTGTAACCACAACACAACGTGCAAACCACCCTTTTAAAGAAAAGCCCGACCACCGGCGTAACAAGCAGACTGCTTATCAACTGTACTAGCGAAGCAGATATCGTAGCTGTAGCGAAGCAGATATCAAAGCCTAGTTGTAACTACAAAAAAAAAATTGCCGCCGCTATCGCAACCTAGCTGTTAACCACAAGACCGAGTGACATGACCATTTAGCACTTCGCGCCCGCTATCGCAGCCTAGCTGTTAACCACAAGACTGAGCGAAGGGGGCAAATATCGCAGCCTAGTTGTAACCACAACACAACGTGCAAACCACCCTTTTAAAGAAAAGCCCCACCACCGGCGTAACAAGCAGACTGCTTATCAACTGTACTAGCGTACTAGTGAAGCAGATATCGTAGCTGTAGCGAAGCAGATGTCGTAGCCTAGTTGTCACAAGACCGAGCGAAGGGGGCAAATATCGCAGCCTAGTTGTAACCACAACACAACGTGCAAACCACCCTTTTAAAGAAAAGCCCGACCACCGGCGTAACAAGCAGACTGCTTATCAACTGTACTAGCGTACTAGCGAAGCAGATATCGTAGCTGTAGTGAAGCAGATGTCGTAGCCTAGTTGTCACAAGACCGAGCGAAGGGGGCAAATATCGCAGCCTAGTTGTAACCACAACACAACGTGCAAACCACCCTTTTAAAGAAAAGCCCGACCACCGGCGTAACAAGCAGACCGCTTATCAACTGTACTAGCGAAGCAGATATCGTAGCTGTAGCGAAGCAGATATCGTAGCCTAGTTGTAACTACAAAAAAAAAAAAAAAAAAAAAAAAAAAAAAATTTGCCGCCGCTATCGCAACCTAGCTGTTAACCACAAGACCAAGTGACATGACCATTTAGCACTTCGCGCCCGCTATCGCAGCCTAGCTGTTAACCACAAGACCGAGCGAAGGGGGCAAATATTGCAGCCTAGTTGTAACCACAACACAACGTGCAAACCACCCATTTAAAGAAAAGCTCGACCACCGGCGTAACAAGCATACTGCTTATCAAATTTATCAACTGTACTAGCGTACTAGCGAAGCAGTTATCGTAGCTGTAGCGAAGCAGATATCGTAGCCTAGTTGTAACTACAAAAAAAAAAAAAAATTGCTGCCGCTATCGCAACCTAGCTGTTAACCACAAGACCGAGTAAAGGCGCAGATATCGCAGCCTAGTTGTTAACCACACCATAACGTGCAAACCACCCTTTTGAAGAAAAAAAAAGAAAAATGTTTGCACCACCGGAGAATCGAACCCCGATCACCGGCGTAACAAGCAGACTGCTTATCAACTATACTAGCGAAGACTCTGTAATTTCGTTCAAACGAAATTATATAATAAAAGAAAGCATAGTTTGTAGTGTTCCTGTTCCATATTTTTAACTACATGACCTCTCAAGTCCCTAACAACGACCTCTTGAGGCCCTGAATGGTTTTTTTTGTTTTTGAATAATATGGGGCTGGTATTCGGAAGAGTGCCATGCCCATCTTCGTGTCAGTCTGCCTTTCCTTCTGGGTACCATGCCTTCTGCTATATTTTTTCCAATCCGTCCTGGCGCTTGATATGACCAAAATATTTCAGCTTCTGAGACACAGGTTGCTGTTTATTAGCCAATCTTCCTTGATGTTCAGATCTTTCAAGATGTCAGTATTTCACCTCTTGGCTATCTTCCGAATAACAGTTTCAAATTATCGAGGCCAGAAATATATCCTATCAGGGCCTCAGTCACATGTAAATTGCAGACTTCCGCCAACACCAAAAGTATCTCCCACGGCCGCTGCGCGCGGCGAGGATTGGGGCTAAACTAGATGGCTGGGACTCATGAGCAAATAAAATGAAGAAAGCCGCAGGAGATGTGGTAGCTGCTGCTCGTGAGTCCCAGCCATCTAGTTAAGCCCCAATCCATGCCACGCATAGCGGCTTGGGAGATACTCTCAGCGGTGGTGGTAGTCGCCGGAAGTGCGTAATTTAAATCGCCGGAAGTCCACAATTTTTTGCAATAATTTGAGACCGTTATTTGGAAGATTGCCCTCCTCTTCTTTGTACAAGATGTTCTGAGAATCTTTCTATAGCATTTCAGCTCAAAAGCCTCTATTCTCTTTCTTCAGAACAAAATAAACAACAGACCATACTATGATGACAGAAACTGTTAACTGAGAGAGTTCAAAGTTCATTTTAGTCTGGGTGGACATGGATGCCAAGGTCAATTAAAAATCATCAGCTGCTGAGTTTTAAATACTTCAGAGAGGGAGGGAGGAGTATTTGGTGAGAGGGGTTGATGACAGTCACTGTTAAAAGAGAGAGCTTAAAACATGATTTTAAAGTTCTAATTTTGTAAGTTATTTATATTTTCTTTGCTATTCTCATGCTGTAGTGGGTTTTTTTGTGTGTGGCAAGTCTGTCGGTCATTTAGAAATACAGTAGTAAGCCTTACTTTCAGCTGTTAAAAAATAAAAGAAACTTTTACATGTGGTACACACAAAAAACTATCTTTTAAAGTCCTAATATTACAATTTAAACCACCACTACTATGAAGACACTTATATGCTGCGTGTTTTAGAGTCGGCACATCAGTCTATCTGTATTTCTACACAGACAACGATTGTGATATCAACCATATTAGACATGTGTGCGTTCTATTTTTTTTTGGGTTTATATTTTGCCAGACTGAGCCACGGCAAAGCTTTGTGGGTACTGCTAGAATTTAATGATAACAAATAATTGTGCTAAGTGTTACTAAAACTGTCAGTAACTGTATCTGTATTTATTCTCTTTGCACCAGCTGACTTTGTTATCGTCGCACGCTTTGCACAAGGCACATGTTAAAGCTGTCCCTCATCAAAGTATTGTCTCTTTCAAAGCCAGTGAGCTAGTGGATACACACACATTAAATGCAAAAGGTAGCCATAAGAAGTGCCAACACAAACTGTCTGCCACTAGAGTTGCATTTCATCTTTGATGTAGCAGCAGTTACAATAAATTAGCAGTTCTTCTCTTTTCTACTTTTGTCATTTCACCGAAACCAGGTTGCAGTCCAGTGGTTTCTTGCGCTTCTCGCATGGCTTGGGTGATGGATTTCAGTAACAGGTGGTACTACTATAATGCTTTAAAAAATGGCTGCCAAAAATTTTTTTCGGTTGAAACAACATAGTATCATAGAATTCCTTAATGCTGAAGGCGAGATCCCAATTTGCATCGATGAATTTTTGAAGAATGTTTTTGGATATTCATCAGTGGATATTAGTACTGTCCGATGCTGGGTACATTGTTGTGACAAAGCTGAAGTAGGTCACTCCACAGTGGCTGACGCAAAGTGTACTGGCCGTCCATCTACTGCAGTTACCCTACACAGCATTCATCGAGTTAATGACATAATTTTTGCTGGCCTTGGGTAACACTGGATGGACTTTATTCCATGTTGTCCATTAGCAAAGGCAGTGTCCAGACCACCAGTTCATGCAGTGTTACTCAGTGGTCAGCACACATGATGCCAGCAACTCATTGACTATTGTGTTGAATAATTGAAACAGGTTGGTAATGTTATACATTGCAAACGATTGTTTGAGAAATCCTGCTAAGTTTACCAAATGCACACTGTTAGAGTATTTGTATAGATAAAAATTAGAAGGCATTACTTTTCAGCCATCTCTTGTACAAATCTAGGAAAGATAAACATATCTAGATGAAATTCCCTGTGTGTGTTCCGGGACCCTGTTATAGGGACAACAAGAATAGACCCACTGCCTACCCAAAAGCATGTCGTAAGAGTCGACTAATTGGGAGCTTCCTTCGAAGTTGGAGTGCATCTGCCTGAGAGGCAAGGAACCAACAGTCTGCATACAAATTAGTTTGTTTAAAAAAAAATATTTTAAATGTAATTCATGATGTTTCTGTAAAAAAAAACCATAAAAACCAATAACTTTGTGTTATTTTTGTCCATAGTTCTGCAGTGGAACAACAGCCACAAGCTGCAGAAATTCCAAAGCCATCGGTTTTAGCTCTACAGTATTTGGATGAATTAGGTAAATAGTGGTGACTGAAGTTATAAGGTTTTCCTACAATTAGTCATTTGCCAGAATTATGTGTTAAGAGCACATTGTGTGACATTTAGTACTCGGAATTTTATACTTCCGCCTCTTTCCAAAAATGTTGTACTTTAGAGTAGATTTCCATGAGTCCTATTAGCTCTTAATGAATTAAAATAATACAGATGTGTTCAGGTTTGAGCAGCATTCTGAAAAGAGTAGATTAACCCTTTCGCTGCTACGTTCCCGGAAATAGTTGTCCTCCCTGTGCTAAGCAATGTGAAAAAAAAAGTCTCTGCTGTGCGCAATACTTTTCTATCCTCTAAACGCAAAAGATGCGTCCGCAGTGAGGGCTATGTTTTGTACACCTAAAATTTTTTACCCTGGGGAGTTGTGTGGTTGGTCCGAGTGGTGACAAGTCAGAGGTACGATGGTGCCCCACAAACTTGACTAACGGAGCTATCACCCTTCGGGGGAGGGAATTAATGGGAGGAACTGTTCCCTGTCCGTATCCCAAAATTTGATTGACGAACCTACCACGGCTGCCACTTTAATCATATTTACTTGTAGTCACCATGTTATTACATACCAAAATAATAAAAAAAAAAAAATATTCATAATAATACTCAAGTCGTCCGTTGCTGAAAAGTAGCAGGAACTCAAAGGAAAATTTACAATTATAAAAAAAAAAAAAACTTCGGGGGTTGAACACAAGACCCTCCGATTCTAAGGCGAACGTGATACCAACTACACTATGCTACCGCTTGACGCATTACGCTGTGTAAATTATAATAATGAATGATGTGCGCAGACTATTAATAATGTGTCTAAGTTTGTAGTCTACGCCGCCTGCATGAGCACTGTTGTCTAAGAAATGTTTGAGATTCTCAACAATAGTAAAAATATGTCCCTCGACATTATTTTACGGGAGTTTTTAGCTTTGCTCAAGTACTCTATTTTGAGTTTAGCATTAGCAGACAGACAGAAAAAAAAAATTTGTTCGTCCATCGGGAAAGACGAGAAATTTTAATGACTTAACTGTTTGAATTTACAGTAGCAGAAATACAGATAGAGCTGGAGTCATCAAAATCATGCACTACTGGTTTCAAATCATCGGTTCATCAAGATAACTGATCAATTTATTGCCGTTTTGATGGCGCTTCATTGTCGCTGCTCTCTGATTCCGACGATGAGGACGTCGGACAGGAAAACAGCTTTTTTTTGGACACGCCGGTTTCAGCAGTCGATACTGATGGCCTAGTCAAATCTTCTTGTTCACTGTCAGAAGTACACATTTCAAAGTCATCGTCGCTATCACTTTTGACAGAAACTCCATCAATTCTTCATCAACTTTAACAAGTTTTCTTGCCATTTTGTACTAAGTGTAGAATAATCCAAAAGCACAAATATATATCAGGGCACAAAATACACAGATCACCGACCACGCTGTCACGGTAAACAAAGCAACGGGATAACGCAAAATGCAGAAAACACGCCTTAAACACACCTAAAAGTACGTGCCAGTGCTTTTAATCATATGTAAATGGGTAAGTTTATTCTAAATATAGCTAATGTATATTGCTCTTCAGCCAATAAAATACGAGGTAACAGAAATCTGTAAGAAAAGTCCAAAAACGGCTTAGGACGTCCATAGCACTGGGGGTCAAGAAAAAAAATAACGTCCAAAGACGGGCGTAGCAGCGTACGGGAAATCGGGAAAAGACGTCCATAGCAGCGAAAGGGTTAATGTTGTAGAGGAAAGAGACAAAAAAGAGATTATATATATATGTGTGTACACATATAAGTATGTATCATTGTGTATGTGTGTGTGTGTGTGCGTGCGTGTGCATGTGTGTGTGTATATATATATATATATATATATATATATATATATATATATATATATATATATATATATATATGAGATCCATCATGGTATAGAAGCTAGACTCCTGCCTGTGGATCTGAAGGTCATGGGTTCAAATCTACATGGAGCCAGATTTTTTCATTTATAGACTTGGCTACCAAGTCGTCTCATCCTTAAATGGATAGCAGATGAAGTCCTGGGAGGTGAAGGTGGCCATCATGATGTTGACCTCATCACCCATCAAAGGCCAGTTGGTCTGTACAAATAGGAATCTAGCTTTATATGTCCGATACACCGCTGGTTACTAAAAAGACCTTTGAAATTATATGGGATACACTTCCAGGATACCCCAAATAAAATACATAATCCAACTTGGGAAAATCTGATAAAGAAAATAACTAACACAATAGAACTTCATAAATATAGAAATTACACAATATTTGATAGAAGTAGAATAGTTAATACATACGTAATACCTAAATTAATATACATAGCTTCAATAATAGATCCTCCACCAAAAGTAATCATTGATATCAATAAACTAATTAGATCCTTCTTATTCGGTAGAACAATATTTGCTATCAAACAAAACACATTGATCCAACATAAACTACAGGGAGGAGTAGGAATCCATGACATAAAATTAAAAATAACATCCTTCAGACTAAAATACATAGGACTAGTAATCAACAACCCCGAAACATTCCCCTTAGCAGTTTATTACATAGCCCCAAAAATCATGCATCTTAAAAAATTAGACAATTCACCACACTTCTTCGGATCCCTCTCCCTATTCTATAGAAATTGTATCAAGTACCTCAAAGGACATGAGAAACTAATCCACCTAACGACAAAACAAATCTACACTAACCTAATATTAGAAGTAGCACCACCCCTCCACCCTAGAATTAAAAAAGGACAACCCTTCCCCAAAACCAACCATTTTTCATCCTTCAAAAACATACACAAACCCTACATTAAACCGATAGGAAAAGAAATTACTTACAGATTACTTTTTAATCTTACCCCAACCACAGAAACAACAGCAAAAAGACTCAAAAAATTACTCCCCTGTAAATTATGTAACAAAAACGAACAAGAAACAGAAGAACACATCTTTTATACATGCACAGAAATACAGAGTACACTTAAACACTTAGAAACAGTCACAAAACACTACATTAAAACACAGATTGATGTATATAGAGCCATATTTCTAAACACTGTACCACAACTAACCAAACTAGATGAAACCAGATTACTGTCTGCACTTGCAGAATATCGTGTCTTAATCTGGTTTACTAGATGCAATGTTGTGTTTCATAGACAAACATGTTCGGGGAAAAATTTAGCCGAAAGATTCCATTACATTATGATGAGATTATTTGACCCAGACTAGGATCAATCTCCCCACTCCCCCCCCCCCCCCCCCCGTTTTTGTTTTTGAATTGTCTTGTTTCTTTTCCTTCTTCCCTTTCTCTTGCTTTTCTCCTTAACTCCCCTTTTTTTTACTGTTTAGTCTTACGTACCACTGTCTTACAGGGATTGTTCCTCCCCCTTTTGTTTTTCATTGTCATCTGATATTATGATAATTCCTATGTAAACATTACTCATATTTGTGGCACCTTGCGTCCATAAACAGATATGAGAACGACTCTGGACCTTGCTCATTGCGTTGGTTGAGTCGAACTTGTTTTGTAATATAAAAATATATCATGTTATTAATGCCTGTATAGAACCCTCTTAAGATCCAAACAAAGAACACACCCTTCTTCGGTTTCCAAGCCTTTAATTTCCTGCAAGATGGCGTCCAAGATCATATGAAAGATCCACAATTTTTCCCCTATCCCTCTTCTGGTACCAGGACTTGGACCATATTTTTGCCCCCGACCTCACCATATAACAACCACTTGTTAAACTGTCCAATATGAATAGGTATAAAGTATTATAAGTTTCGTGCCTTAACATGCTCCTCAATGTCTCACTTACTCTCACACGCTCAACTCTCTACCCTCTCTCCCTCCTTTATCCCCCTCCTTTATCCCCCCCCCCTCTCTCTCTCTCTCTCTCCTCTCTTGATCTCCCCTTACAAACCCCTTAACCTAACAGTCTGGAAATTCAATTCTTAACTCACCAACTATCTACTTCACAATCTCCTACTAACACTAAGTCCGTGTAAAAATGTATATATTGTTTGCGCACACACTTGCACCACAAATACTCACACACGGCAACACATGTATAGAACACTGAACAAAATACGCACACCGCAGACGCCTGTATATTAAATACGTACAATACAGAAACCACGCAATCTTGTACACAGACCCACTTTAACATTCAATAAAATTGATTTAAAACTTAGAAATAAAAAAACTAAAAGGACCTTTGTATGGATTCATCATTGGGAAGCAGTGGTACCATAGTGGCTAGATGCTTACCTGCCAGTCTTGGGAATGAATCTGCATTGAAGGTGATTTCTTCCTTCAGAATTAATCTTGGCACCCAGGTTGACCCAGCCTAAAATGGGTACCAGGAATTGTCCTGAGAATTAAAGGCTGCCGTTGTGATACTATTATCATCTACTGTGTGCCAGTTGATGTATTAAAAATAGGGCTACATCATGTAGCCAGTGCACCTCAAGGTAGGAAATAGGTCATTTACTATTTTACTAATCAAGTCATTCAGCTTTAATCTTTAAGTTATGTTTAAAAAAGCAGAGTTGAAAAAAAATGTTAATACATTTTGTCCCAAACAATTTCACCGCCCCCCACCCCCTCCCCCCACAATTAGATTTGTATTGTATCGGATTAACATATCAAGGATGAGAATCAAGCAGCTAGAAATCCCAGAAACCCTGTTCAGCTCTACTGCCATGTAGCACAGTTATACTGGGGCACTACAAAATGGTTACAAAGTGACCTGTAGTCCCTTGTGTGTTTGTTCTTTTGAAGTGGTTTTTATTCTGACATTGAACAGTGTATAGAAAATGTAAATAACAGAAGAAATTATGAGAGCATGCTGTAGAAGGAAATAGAAAGAAAATAATTTTAATGTAAGACAATAGACTCATATTATTTTAGCAGTGAGAGCTGACTGACATTCAGTTGCAACAAGCTTTTACACTTAACCCTTAATAGTCTTATGTGAATAAAACTATCGTTGATAATTTCACTATATCATGTCAGGTGCAAACCACAGAATTTACATCAGCAAACAATAAAGCACAGAAATGAACCCTTTCAACTGAAATACATAAATCACATAGTTCATTATTTCCCTGTGAATTCTGTTGAGTTCATTATTTCCCTGTGAATTCTATTGAGCTCATTATTTCCCTGTGAATTTGAGTTCATTTATGTGAATTCTGCTGAATGCTTTGAAATATAATACAACAAAGTAGACAATAAATGATGCAGTATATTGTTTGTGCGGCGTCCGTGGCTAAGGCGTTGCGAGTCCGACTCGTAAGCCAGTATACCGCGATCGAAACCCACTGCAGGCTGTGTGGATTTTTGTCCTGGTATGGGACGTCGCAGGTCGACCCAGCCTAAAATGGGTACCGGGATGGGCTGTCCTGGGAAAGTAAAGACAGCCGACGTAATGCTGACCACATTACCCACAGAGTGCTGATGGTCTGTAAAAATATGGAATGCTCTGCCCATATGCCCGATGCGCTGAAAGGCGTGAAAAGGGATCTTTACTTTTTTTACTTATATTGTTTGTGTCCTCATTAATTAAATTCACAAGGCAAACTCATTGCCTTGAACACTATCATTGGTAAGTTATTATTAACTCTTTGAGGACTGTTCGTCAGTAAACTGGCATATGAATTAATCCCTATCGGACTAGTCGCCAGTGTACTGGCATATCGTAGAGACACTCTAATTTGTTCCGTTTGTGGAAAAACGAATTGTTTAAAAAAAAATTAGGATTAACAACAGGAAGTCCTTTCATTTGCAATGTTTCGCGTGGCTTATGCGTCATTTTCTACATTAAAAAAAAAATTATTTAGATGTAAAACAATTTTTACCTGATTTTTCTATACTAAATGATAAGGGAAAAGGTCTAGAACTGTTCATACTGCTCTGTCAAAAGTCTTGATATTGTGGTTGATATCTAAGTGACAAACCTATTGGCAATAATTTAGTTTAGGATATTAAAATTGAACAAAATATTCCAGTCAGATCAATGTTTTCCAGATTTTTGGTTGTTGTGAAATCTGACTTGTCATACAAAAATTGTCATAACATCCAACATATTTGAATTAATTGTTTCAAATAAAGACTAGCTGATACATAATTGAGCAGAGATGGCATGTGCATTCTTAGAATTAGATAGCAGTGTTGTTGAACAAGTATAAAAGCAAGGTAGGCACACAATGTTTTTATATAAATAATCTTTATATGTGTCTAACATCCTTGAATGTTGTGTGATTTCGATAATGTTTGTTGTAACACTGACACTTATATAGCTTAGATTTACTCTGCACTCATTTATCTTTAATTTGATGTATGTCCCAATACAGCCAATACTTTTTCTTCAGGAAGGTCTTTGTCGTGTTGCAGTAAACAAAATTCAGCTGAAGAGTTAACATTGTGAGGACTTCACTATTTAGTGCATGACATTCTTGAATAAAATATAGTATATACATTAAATATACAATGTTTTTTTTTTGCAGTTCCAGAGGAAAATTTCAGGTATGTCATGTTTGATGATAACCTAGTGACAGTGTCAGATACTGGCAAAGAGTTGGGGGAGTTTACTGTCAACATTGAGGCTACTCGTTATAAGGGTCTGGAGTGTTTCTTGATTCATGCCAACAGTCATGGAGCTGTGGATGGTGTACCCTGCGGGACATCAATTGTTTGCTATGTTTCAAAATGTTTAGAAACACTAGAGCAGCAACATCATGAATATGTCAAGGTGAGATTTCTAATTTTATCACATACTATCTTAAATGTGCATTTTTTTTGCAGTAAAACAGTAAAGGACTCTTTTCCATGCCTTCAGGTGTACTGGGCATGTAGTAAAGTTAAGGACCCTTTTCCATGCCTTCAGGTGTACTGGGCATGTAGTAAAGTTAAGGACTCTTTTCCATGCCTTCAGGTGTACTGGGCATGTAGTAAAGGACCATTTTCCACACCTTCAGGCATATTGGGCTATACCTATATTTCATAGACCAATCAGCCCTTGGTGGATGATATGGTGAGCATCACGCCGGCCTCCTTTACTTCCCAGGACACCTGGTATCCATTTATGGCTGGGTCAGCCTGGACGCCAAAGTCGTTTTTGAAACAAAGTCTAGCTCCACCAGGACCTGAAGCCATCACCTTCCAATCAGACAGAGAGCATCCAACCGCTATAATACGGCAGCTCCCACTGGGTATATAGGTTGGACCTATATTTTAGAGACCAGTCAGCACTTGATGGGTGATGTGGTCAATATCATGCCCGCCGCCTTTACTTTCCAGGACTCTGCCTGGTATCCATTCAGATCTGGGACCCGGCAACCAATGTCATATTTGAAAAAAAAAAAGTCTGGCTCCGCCAGGACCTTAACCCACGACCTTCGGATCCGCAGGCAAGTGTCTAGCTGGATAGCTCCCATATTCTTGCAGTATACTACTGTGTATGAGTAGAGTTGGCTGGCCAAATGGATAAGAACACGGAGCTCTCATTCTGGAGATCCAGGTTCAAATCCTAACCTGAACAGTCTGGGTGGCTACACTGGCCATGCAACCATAAATCTTCAGGCCCAAGACCCATATTTGTGTCCATGCTTTGTAGAAATTCATACTGGTAGCATAATGCAGGTGACAAGTGCCATTTAAAAAACAAAAACATTTTGCAACATATTATTGCAAACTGCTTTAGCAGTCTGAAAATAAAACTATCAAATACATGAATGGCAAGAATAGTCCTAAATTCCATGCTGGTATTGTGGAAGACTTTTCTAACAGCAAGCAGGTCTTGCTAGTCACACTCGCCATCTCAGGCTAGGATTCCCTTACTTTCCTGTAGTACATTATAACACTATTGTCTGGAAAGACGGAAAGGTGCAGACATTTGCATTTTGGAGATTATTATATTAGATCCATATTTTTAGCATCTGAATACCACACAAAGTATGATGGGGGTCACATTCACACAAAAATTAACACAGACTGCAGTCTTAAGAAATCCAACAGCATGCACATGTATTAAATGCATAAGGCAGCAGTCAGAAATGCCAGCACAAACAGTCTGACTCTAGAAATGCAATTCATCGTCGATTTGCCACTCCTCATTTTCTGGAACTGCAGTTCACAACACCAACAACATTGTGCATAAGCTGAGTCAACCCTAGAGCCTTACAAGTCAATTTTATCTAAAGAACATATATATTTGTGTAAATTAGGGATGCGCTCAAAAGAAGAAGAAGATAGAAGTCAGAAATAAACTTCTTCTACCATTATTCTGCTACCATTAGGAGCGAACCTCAGATCACTATACCCACAAGCAAATGCACTAACAACTACACTAGCATATCTGCAACTAAATATCTTATTTACTTACAGCTGGATAATTGTCCTTTGGACCGCAAAACCTTTCTGGTGAGGACAGGTGATGGTTACACAGTTAACCGAATCATCACACAGGGCAAGGTATGTACTTTTACAAATGTTGCTTGCTTGTTGTAAAACAGCTTGTGTCTGTTATAAAATTGAATTTTATTTATTTGACAGTTTGCCACCACAGTTCCAAGAATAACTAACACAAGTTGTAATAACTCATAAATATGTCTATGTACTTTTTAATTTAGCCTATTCCTTTGTATGTCTTTTTCAAAATTAACTAACAATGTGACCCACAAATCAATAACAATATTAGTCTTAGCTATATTCCTTTGCAAACACTAATTCTAGAAACAAGCTGATCACAAAGTTGGCCTCTCTGATTTAGGTGTCACGAACACCTTTTATAATGCATAGGTACCTAGTTCAGTTCTAGCTGCATGAAAATCAGCAACAGACCGCTTGCATTGATTTTGCCTTTGGTATTGAAAGCCAGCAGTTCAGTAAGCAGTGGTAAACTACTAAAGGTTAAATTGCCTAGTAATACAAAACAACCAGACACACACACACACAAATAATTGTTGGATTGATTCTGCATTGTCTTTTTTTTTAAAAGGATATGCAACTAACTGTATTATATTAATCGAAATTAGCAATGAAAGCCACAGTTTTTATGTTTTGAATAATAGAATAAAGAAAAGTTGCCAGCATATATTGCATCTCATAGATATTGAGAACACACTTTAAATTGAAAACATAAAAATACTGTGTGTTTGTTATTGCTGTCAATGAACATTGTTTATTTGACAGGATGTGCAGAGAACAACCAAAACCATCCCTGTAGATCAAATGAGGGGCTTCATTTCTGAAGGTTAGTCACTCAGTGTTTGTAACAAGTCAGTCTGAGTGTCTTTAATTATTTGAGTGTAACACGTATTGTAAGTCATTGAATGTTATTACTTACACCTAATTGTTTGTTAAGTGTTTCTGTCGCCATCACCGAGTGTTGTTAAGTCAGTTTGAAGAGATGTTTAGAAGTGAGAGGATGGAGTTATTATACTGGGTTTTATCCCATGTAGCCCAGTCTCTCTCTCTCTCTGTCTCTCTCTGTCTGTCTCTCTCTCTGTCTCTCTCTCTGTCTCTCTCTATGTCTCTCTCTGTCTCTGTCTCTCTCTGTCTCTCTCTCTGTGTCTCTCTCTATCTCTCTCTCTCTGCCTCTGTCTCTGTCTCTCTCTCTCTCTCTCTGTCTCTCTCTCTGTCTCTCTCTCTCTGTCTCTCTCTGTGTGTGTGTGTGTCTCTCTCTGTCTCTCTCTGTCTCTCTCTCTCTCTCTCTCTCTCTCTCTCTCTCTCTCTCTCCTCTCTCCCTCCCTCTCTCTTTCTCTCTCTCTCTCTCTCTCTTGGCTTGGCTTGCTTTGTGAAAAAACAAAATTTGTCATGTTCATCCAGCATTCCCAAAAGGGGAGCTTTGGATTATAATTGTGACTAGATTATGTGCCCCATATAAAATGGCTTAGCATTGCTCATCACCAAGTAGCCCTGAAAAGACTCTTGTCAGACTGGCGACAAAGTCGTCTGTCAGTCAGCCAATGGGCAACCATTTGCAGGTGCCAGTCTCTCTCTCTCTCTCTCTCTCTCTCTCTCTCTCTCTCTCTCTCTCTCTCTCTCTCTCCCTCTCTCTCTCTCCCTGTAGACTAGTTATTTATCCATCAACAGCATGACATAAAGCTACATAGCTCCAGCTGTGACGCTCAGGCATCACTTAAACAGCCAGGCTCACAAACTGGAAGGCAGTCCAAAACCAAACTGATGACCATCATAAAGTAAAAGTAAAGGACCCGTTCTCACCCCTTGAAGCATATTGAGCATATAGGGATAGGCCTACATTTTATTTATAGACCAGTCGGCATTCGATGGGTGATGTGACCATCATGCTGGCCGCCTCAGCTTCCCAGGACTTTACCCGGTACCCATTTAGATCTGGGCCAACCTGCAAGCCAAGGTGGTCTATGACCATGGCAGCGTTTAAGCTGAGTTCGCGGCAGCTGGGTGACGAACTCCATGTGGTCCGGGTTCACGCCCAGGGGTAGGCAGAAAAGCCACATTTCTGCCAGATTTACGGTACAAATGGAATCAAGGCCGAAGGTTTGCAATATTGATAGTACTGACTCAAAAGGTTTACAACTCATGGTTTCTGGATACTAAAAAAAAATTTTTTTTTTAAATACAGACACAGGTGAAAATTGACAAATTTTGACAAATAAATTATCTTAGCTTGGTCATAGTAGCAGACAGGTTTATTTTTGAAATTACTGGAGAATTAAAGCCAAAGGAAGAGTGCAAGAGGAATCACTGCACATTGGGCATACCCATACATGCTCAGTCTTCAGATGCAGCAGCCACCTCAGAATACCTCTACTGTCATATCAGTTTTTTTTTTTGACTGATTAATCTAATTATCATCTACTGAAAGACACTAAATGAACTTCACTGTCAAAATAGTTCATGTATTGGTAATAAGATCAGCCAACTTCAGACAGCTATATAATGAGATACTTAGAAGAAAAAACATCTTTAGGTAAAGAAAAAAAAATACATTTCAAAATAAAATATTTACACCTGTCTTGAACACAGCTTCCATTTACACTTCCTTTTCACAAGGCAATTGCATCTGTTCACAGGCTCCAATCTCCTTTTACATCGACTACTGATAGAAAAACCAATTGATGATTCTCTTCAGTTTATATCCTTTGATTCTGATGCAAATCTCTGTCCAGTGACCTACGTAAGTATGGTTGTTTTGGTAGAAATGTGTTGACACTGAGGTATGTGTACAGAATACTGATTTTGCACAGATGGATTGATTGTGTAATTTGATGTTGTATGTTGAACTTGTTGTTTGTCTTTTTTTTTGATGGTAAAGAATCACTTTATTGCATATGAATATCCTAATTAGTGCTGCTGGCTCCTCATGTGAATCAAACAAAGAGAATCTCAGCACTGTGTCTGAAGGAAATCTGTGAGGATTCCAATATATGCATACAAGAGTTAAACATTTTAGAAATATATTGTGTTTGTGTGTGCATGTTTTTTTTTTTTAATAAATAGCTTTTATAATTTGAACCTTTTGCCTGTCCAACAATTTTAACTTGAACTTCGTGGACTGAAACATTTTATAAGTTGATCTTGTTTATGATATGTTTGATAAGGTTGCAGTGAGTTTTCATTCTTTATTTTTAAAAGTTTTTATTTTTTTTAAATATTTTTTTTTTGTTTTAAATTTTTGAAATGATTCTGTTTTGCTTAAGGAGCAAATTAAAAAAAAAATGTTACCATACAGGTTGTTACAGTGGTTTTTTTTTTTTTCATTGCAAGTTCTGTGTGTTTGGTAATGATTTAAATGATTCTTTTTAGCATTACAAAAAATACTGTTAATTTGTAAGTTTAAATTTTGTTCGATACAGAAAAGACTACATGAGCGAACACAAACAGTGGAGGATGTAGAACTAAGGGTTTATGGCATAGAAAGAACGATTATTTCAACATCTGATCTTCCAACCACTTGGCAGTCTTACTTCATGCATGATGGGTGAGTGTATCTGTTTGATCCAACCACTTGGCAGTCTTACTTCATGCATGCTAGGTGAGTGTATGTGTTTGATACAACCACTTGGCAGTTTTACTTCATGCATGATGGGTGAGTGTATCTGTTTGATACAACCACTTGGCAGTTTTACTTCATGCATGATGGGTGAGTGTATCTGTTTGATCCAACCACTTGGCAGTCTTACTTCATGTACGATGGGTGAGTGTATCTGTTTGATCTAACCACTTGGCAGTCTTACTTCATGTACGATGGGTGAGTGTATCTGTTTGATCCAACCACTTGGCAGTCTTACTTCATACATGATGGGTGAGTGTATCTGTTTGATCTAACCACTTGGCAGTCTTACTTCATGTACGATGGGCGAGTGTATGTGTTTGATTCAACCACTTGGCAGTCTTACTTCATGTACGATGGGCGAGTATATGTGTTTGGATCTGGATCCAACCATTTGCAATCTTACTTACATTATGAGTGGGTGAATAAGTTTGGCTCAAGATGACCATGAATTAAGAAAAACATTTTCCAACAAAGGAATTTCTGTTTTCTCTCTTTCTCTCTCTCTCTCTCTTTCTTTCTCTGTCTTTCTCTTGCTCTCTCCTCTCTATCTCTCTCTTTACACACATACACCCAGGGACTCAACATTTTTAGTGTTAGAAAGTGTTAATCTCTAGCTGTTTGTATGATGTTCTTATTGTTTTAATGTATTGTGCTCTAAGATAGTCATCGTTATCATCACCAAGTGCCTTGCTGACATGTATCTCTACATCTCCTGATCCGTGATAGAATGTATCAGTTAACCTTGATCCATGCCTTACCGAATAGCTGGAAATAAAGTTGTCACCGGAAAAATTGTTTTGGTTTCTTTTTTTTAGCCATTTGACAAACCGTGTTCAGATCGGATCTCCTGTTACAATGAAGCTGGCGAAAGTACCTGTACAAATTGAGAGAGGTTAGTGAAAGCAAAATATAACAGATGATTGTGACATTGCAAGTAATGACAGTTCTTTTCCACTGAATGTATCAACAGTAGGCTTGTTTACACATTGTTAGAAGCTTTGCAGTTCATCTGACAATCACTATTTCATATTAAAGAATGAAAAAAAAAAGTATGAATGGTTTTCTAGAAAATGCAAAAGCGGCCAGCATAATACTACCTTATTTTCCTGTATGTGCTATTCACTTGTAAAAATTACAGGTATATATATATATATATACACACATATAGGTATTTAAAAAAAATTAAAGCATTTTGGGTATGTAAATCCTATGGCTAAACATGGGGGGGGGGGGGGGGGGGGGGGGTGTCCTTTTCAAACCTAGTATTCGGTGGAAACAGTTTGAGAAACCAAAATCATCATAGTTTGTTTAGTGTGTTAAGAAGGTAACACTTTTGTAGTGGAGTGTTTAAAATAGCTTGCCCTGAACAATGATGGTTTTTATTTCTCAGAGGAAGAAGTTCCCAAGCATGTCTTTGAGAAGAAACCATTGAACTGGGAGGAAGATTTGCAACTTCATTCCAGATTTTTAGACAGGAAGGTGAGCAAATTTAGATTAATATGCTTTTCATATTAGTAGTTGTTTTAGTCGCTCTCCATGTTTTCACTCCATACAGCAGCTCTGATGTGACATTAGAATGACAAATTTAGAATTTAGTACTAGTTTTAATCTCCAATGACTTTTACCAATTTCCGACTGCTATGAAAACTCCACTTGCCTTTTGTATTCATATTTTGATATCTCTGTAAGTTTTCCCATCTTTATCTACATTACTGCCCCAAAAGGCTTTTGACTCACATATTAGAGTGGTATATCATAAAGAGAAATTAAATTACTGTTTACCAGGTTTCTTAACATTATCTCCGTCTTTTTTTAATGGATATTTAGACCAGTTGTTTGCATCAAGTATGTTTAATTTATCTTCTATCTGATTCCCTAAGTAGGACAGCAGAGAAATATCATCAGCAAATTCCAGGTCATTAAACGGTTTTATAGAAGTCTGCTGAATTCAGTTTCTGGTATTTGCTCTTGCCTGAAATAATCCAGTCTATTGCCAGTAAAAGTAGTAGAAGGTGACAAAAGCTATCACTGTCGCACATCTGTTCTTATTTCGAATTCATCTGTCAGTTTTCCCTCATGGAGAACTCTACAGTGTCAATGTTTCAGCAGATTTTCTTGCTGTCTTTATCTATAATTTCTGTACTTATCCCAAATAAATGCCAGTCTTTAATTGTACATTTAAAAATTATCAGTTTCTTTGATATTGCCATTTGTGGCGCGGTGATTTCGGTCACAGGCATGAGGGAAAGTTAAGTCTGATGTGATGTGTATAAGGAGATATTCCGTACCCCACTCGGGTGCCAGTCCTTCACTGTTCTGGTTTTACGGAACCTCATGCAAGACTTCTGCTGCACGTCCCCGTCGTGCGCTACGGATAATGTCTCAAATGAGCATTAACATAGTTGGCAGGAGATCTCGGAGCTGGCGGCCCCTAGAGGTGTAGTGTCCTTTCTGGCTGTCATCAGCCCGCCCCCAAACGCATGGGTGAAAAGTCTATTAAAACTCATTCGGAACACAAGAAAGGATTGCTTGCCAAATGTACCATCAAATGACAACTCTCGGTTAAAAGTCTGGAGCAAATGGAAAACTGTGCTGCTGAGACTCAACCCTTGACCGAGAGATTTACCCAAATGTACCATCAAATGAAAACTCTCGGTTAAAAGTCTGGAGCAAATGGAAAACTGTGCTGCTGAGACTCAACCCTTGACCGAGAGATTTACCCGCAGCCAAGACGAGTAACATCTCTTGTGGGCGATTTCTCACAGCAAGATCCTACCTACGTACATCCTCTGTCAATCCTCAGTGTCGTCGTCAACGCGCTGAGGTACACCACGGCAGCAGCTTTTCATCTGCTGGCTAGGAAATAATGTCCGACAAAGTTAAATCCTACGGCTCACATGCAAGCTCAAAGTCTGACGATCATAATTCGTACCGATTAGGAAAAAGTACAAATGTCCATATCCACTGGTCCCACTCGCCCGAGTGTTGGGACCGAACAGGTGATGCCACGCCTGACGCATGTTGCTTCTCTATTCTGTCGTGCTAAGGGCACAGTTGAAACAACGTTAAAGGTGTCTAACGTACGATGAAAAGAATGTACCTATTTTTGTGGCCACAAAAGTCCTGGACCTGCGGGCTGCTCCCCGCTGATCTCCGGAGAGCGCAGCCTTGTAGCGCGGGAAGCTCAATACACGGTTGTGAGGTTTAGCAGTCATGGGCAGGACGTGACGATTCCTTGGGTGAGCCCAGAACCAGAGCATCATGTGTCGGCTCTGCATTTATGGAAGCCTCCTTGGATGGCGGGGAATGCCCATGATCTGCCCTTGCCTTCCCTTGAGGGCTGACAATTCTACCTGGGCTGCCTTAATTAAGGAGGGTTCTCCGGGGGCCACACCTGTTAAAGGTCAAAGAGGACACCACACAAATGAGGCAACATCTCGACCCACACAAAACAATGGCCACAGTCAACCTAGAAATAGGCTTGACATCTTTCCTCGAAGTCGGAGTACATCTGCCGGAGAGGCAGGGAACGAGGACTGCAAACAAATAAGCCAGTAAAACGGATGTACATGCAAAACTCAGGTCAAGGCAAAAGCCAAAAGTCCATTTGGACGAACAACCACGACTTACCGCCGGAATTCACAGCCGGTGAACAAGAAGAAGAAGAAGAGGAAGATATTGCCATTTGCTTCCGTCATCTACTATTCAGACTGAGGCTAACTGTTTTACTTTCTACATCTGTGAAATGTTTCATTTTCTGTAGCACTAAAGACTTGTTGCTTTGAAACAGTCTTACCGGGACCACTAAGTTATTTATATTATGGCCACCGACCATGATTGCTGTCATAGTTTCTTTAGATTCCAGCATATGCTTACTATATAATGAAATGAACCAGAGGACAAAGTACATACTTGTTTGACACCCATTTTGAATGCATTGAACTGAAGTTTCTTAAATGGTTGTTAATTGTTTTAACCGTTTATTTTTGCCATTACACATTCTTTTTTATTTGCTGTCAGTATTAATTATCCTAGTAGTTTGATTATTTCTTCATGTCAGACATTTTTGAGCAATCTGTGGGTCATAAGTTCAGTTATTTATTTTTACTTCTATAAATTGGAAGTGCTTTGAGAATCTATTTGGCATTGTTTTTACTCTTTCTTTCTACAAATCTAGATTGTTTCTAAATAATTTTTGCTTTAATTTTGTTTCTTACATTTTATTTAAATATTTTAATAACATTTTTGTTATGTGAGCCACAAGGTTTCACATTCTAAAGCACATAATTTCTTTGTCATACCTGCAAGGATGTAAAAAGGTCATAGGGGATGGTTATTGTTTTTGTTGCTTTTTAAATTCCAGATTCTTCCTCCAGTGTAATATGGCGGGTGGGGAATTCATTTACCTAGATTGATGTCATTGTCCCGTTATTGATGCAAATCGTTGTGTATAAATTAACAAAACATTTACTTTGTAAATTTCATCTCAGGAGGAAATTAAAAGTGACCATGCCACATACATGCGCCACCATCCAGAGCTGAGAGCCTTGCTTGCAGACTTCCTGCAGTTTTTGCTGTTGAGAAAACCAGAAGATGTCATTTCCTTTGCTGCTGAATACTTTTCTGCATTCTCGACCTCCATGCCTGATGTCTCTCCATACCTGGCTTCCAATGCACCAACTCACTTCCCAGCAAGCCACACAAACCCACGCATTGATGAACTGAGAGCACCCACAAGATAGACAGCTCACTCTTCACCTGTATTGTGAGAACAAACTGCTTTGGAAAATGTTCCTGGTTGGCAGGATAGACCTTTTTTTTTAAAACTGTTGCCCGCCCCGGCCCTGTTATCATGATACCCATTTAATGTTACTCATATAGACCTATACTCTGAATGAAATTAAGTGCCATTTGTACGTTATGTATGCACTATTCTGCTAGGTAGTACAAATATCCAGACAAAAATCAATATTCTAGACACTGTATATGCTGTATGTAGTTTCTGTGTGTAGTCTTCTTTGTACGTGCACTCTTCCGATCTGGAAGCTTCTGCAGCGTGTATGTTCCAAACATATTTGTGTTACATTTCCTTTGGGGTTAACAAGAGAGCCCAGGAGAGACACCCTGCTGCATGGCCAACACTTGTCTCCACAATGCTTCCCAGGCTTTACACAATAGAGAGGAGGAACTTAGTGCGAAAGAGGAGGAACTTATTGCAAAAGATACTTCTTAACGCGAGCAGGACTTGCTGGTCCCACTTGCCATTGGCATGGGCTAAACTCCCATGCCTCCCTATATAGCACAATGAAACACTATCATCTGGAAAGACATAAAGGCGCCAACAGTAACAGAAACAATCAGTGTGTACTTATTCGGGCACTCAGAATTGCATTTTCTTGGGCAAATATTACCCTTAGAGGCAGTGTTCTTCAACCTTTTTACACCTGCGCCCTGCCAAAACAGGAGGAATTATTTTGTGGATCATCTGATAGCCGACCAAAAACAAATGTAGATGGCATGGCAGATGAGTTGTTAAATCCGATGTCACAAAATTACAATTTTTATCTAAGGTGATATTTGCTGCTGCTTAATGTTGGAAAATCTTATAGGTTTGTCACGTACAATTTCATTCACTATGCAGCAATGTGCGAGAATTATGTAACCACCAAATAACTAAGTATACACTTTCGGTGGCCCATCTAGACATTTCAGGGGCCCATAAGTGTTCCAAGGGCCACCATCTGACAAACAATGCTTTAAAGCAGGACCATTCAGCTAAGTTCACTCAGGTCCAAAAATGTTGGAAAATCTGGTTGCTCTTGGGCCAGAGGCCTGAGGTACAGCATAGAAAGATCAATAATACAATACAATTGGTAGCTGATGCGCAGGCCACTAGCAAGGGCCTCTGTGGGCCAGGTTTAGCCTACGGGCCGCCAGTTGAATAGCCCTGCTTTAAGGCTTACTTGTTAACTTTTTGTCGACCTCATTCTTGTGTATAATTTATTTGTCGCTGCTGATATATATGAGTCTGTGCGTGTGTGTATGTTTGAAGAGATGCATTTTTTTATGCTGTAGGAGCAGTTAAATTTACACCAACCGGTAGAATGTAATTTTCCTGAAATTGAAGCTATATTTGCAACTTGTATGCCCTATATATATGTTATCTGTTGTATAATATCAGTATTTTCCACCTCAGTGTTGAAGTTAGCTGTGGTTTTGTTGTACTTAACTGTTTAGTGTGAACTGAATGGGATGGTACCCCAAGATATTTAGACCAGCTGTGTTAACTGTCAATATGTAATGATCTTGGGGCCGTGGTAGCGCAGCCTGCCGGCCAGAATGTAAAGAATTCGGCTCTGCATCGAGGCTGTTTTTTATATTAAAATTTTTTTTTCAAATGCTAGCTGCCAGCTTGACCTAGCCTAAAAGTTGTACGAGGCAATGGCCTGAGAAGTAAACATGGCAGTTTAATGTTGACCACATTACCCATCGAATGCTGATAGGTCTCTAGAAAATATATCTGGCACTTTATGCCTGAGGCACCAAAGGCGTGAAAAGGCTCTTAAACAGCATCTTTGGTTGACAGTTTCCTGTGTGGGTTCTGAGGCCCCATTCTAGGGGAAAAAAAAGATTAAACCAACTGCCACCCTAGCAAGTGTGTCGTACAAGGTTTCTCATTAGAGAAGCTTCCTTCAAAGTTGGAGTGCATCTGCCTGAGAATCTCTGAACCATTATTCTGCATACAATTAAATCTGTAAAAGAGAGTGCGCACGAATTTCAAATTCTGGAACAGGACTAAAGTCCAGAAGTGAATGAACAACCAGAACTTTTAACTGGAGTTTACATCCGGTGAACACTAAGAAGAAGAGGAAGAGGCTGACAGTGCTAGTTGCTCGGTATGTGTTATGCCAGTGTGTGAATCCTGCTGTGATTTTCTGTAGTTGCTTGCATTTTCTTTTAATATGACCATAAACATTTATATGTTTCTCTAATGTTGTTTTTCCTTTTATCTCAGAAACAGAACACATTTTACCATTTTTATCTTAATTCAAGAATTGATCAATGTATATCATAGATCTGTCATTATTTTTAATTTCTATAAGAACTTTATGAATTTTCTATATGTCCTCTTCTTTTAACTGTTTTCTTGTAACTGTTTTCTTTTGACTGTTGAATTGTCTGCCTGCTGTGTCCAGGTAATCATTATTTAATTCCCTTATGGGTCCGTTCCTTCACTTGTTGTTGTGTCGTTTGACATTTTTCTTCTCAGATGTTACATGCAGAGCTCTTCAGGCTTCAAAAAATATTTTACGCTTGTATTTCTTTTGTATGCATTTGTGACTTAATGGTTATGAATGCAATTTCATAATTCCAGCATACCAGGTTCGGTTCAGGGGCAGGCATTTTGGCAGCAGACTGCTGTATGTTGACTTTGATGGCAGTATTGACCATTCTGAAAGCACTGGCATTTGCCTAGTAAAGCCATGAACAACCAACTTATGGGGTTAGTTTGTGACATACAGTAAAAGATATGCAACTAAAGTTTATTTGCATTACAAATTACAGATTTTTAAAAATAACGAACTTGCTTTTATGCTATTAAAAAAATGGTGTTGTTTTCACGCTTGATGTTATTCGGGTACAGACAATCAATAGGGTATTTTCAGTTGCTGATCTTACTCACTGGTTTAACTGCTTTAATCATTCATTTCACTGGAATGGCAACAGCGTGATGTTTATCAGGAATATGTCTTTTAAGCGATTTTGTGCATTCTTGTTTTTACTTCGGAGGAGCAGATGGATCACCACAGTCTGATAAGATTGATGTGGCGGAAAGTGACAAGAGGTTTCGGCAGATGTTCAAGTCAAGATAGGTGTTTAATCAGAATGCTACTGGCACCATAAGTATCGGAACTCTTCACTGGCTGCTGAAGATGCGGCCGGAGCGCTTATGCGAATGTTTCAAGTGCTGTGATGTCGGTTCTTGAATTAACTCAACTCAACTCTGTTTGTACTTGTGGCAGTGTTGATTTATATAATCTACTGATAAAGGCTGTCTAGCCGCGACATTCACCTCTTTTGTGTTTGTGATCACTGGTATTACTTTTCATTTTGTTTGATATCTTTTGATGATGCTTTAAGTATAAAATATTTTCCTTTATTTGTATTTCTTTTCTTGAGATGATAAATAGCCTGTACACTTGCTTTTTTATTCTGAGTTCATGCTCTTTATTGCTGCAGGCCACTCTGCTGAGAGTAATACAACAATTTTGTATGGATCCATGTCATATGCCCTGGTCTTACCAGAGCATTGAAAGAAACAAGATAGTATAGCTTACCATGCATTCATAAGAGATAACTAAGGACTGTAGGACATTGGGCACTCCATTCTGTTGAAAACCAACAGCAAAATCCAACGTGTCATGACCTCCCTAAATAGGTTCTGGTGCTCCATTAAAAAAAAAAATGGGGGGGGGGGGGTGTTTGTAGACAAAACCAACAGCAAAATCCAATCTGTCATGACCTCCCTAAATGGGTTCTGGTGCTGCATTGAAAAAAAAAGGGGTGGGGGTGTTTGTAGACACCCCCCCCCCTATACCCCCCCCCCCTCAACCTCATGCATGCTATTAAAATTTGAATAAGAATTTTCTTAAATTAGATATATGTGGCCATGGGATGCAGAAATCACAGCCTAGCTGTAATCCACAACACACCAACCATCCTTTTAAGGATGAACAGGAAGAAGACAAGTCCTGAACAAGTCTAAGGAAAAGACTTACTGATGGTTGGGAACCTATGCACCATTGGGAGTTAGTTGATGGAGGAAAGAATGTATGTAATATATTGTTATTGTGTTGAAATTGAACCTGGTGATTGCAGCTTTGTTAATAGCAAGACATAAATATGATGTTTATACAGAGGACCAAAGGAATTTATGTAACAGTAATATCATATATATCACAGAATGCTATTTAGAACATTTTATATTACACAGAATAATGACTCATTATAACTTAGGTGTATGGGGCTATGTCCCTTGATCCTCAGTTTGATTGCAGTGGTCCTGTATAAACATCAGACTGCTTTTCGTTTGGTCTGTGGAGCTCTAAACCCTGTAGCATCGCATCTAACCTCCCACAGGACTCCACCATTTTTCCTGTGCTTTTCAGTGTGGTCACAAGCAGGATAGAGGCAGTGGGGATTGGGAGAATTCTAACTTCTGCTGGTGATGTTTTAGTCCAAAGACAGGGGTAAATGGAATAGAAATATCTAGAGAACTGCAGAATGCAGTAGATAAGGTAGAGTGGTGTTTATTATATAATAGAATTGTTAGAGGTGAGATTCTGAACATCACAATAAATGGTAACATAAAGAGAGAGAACTCATTCACTAAAATATCTTGGTATCTGTTATCAGGAGCCTGTCGTTAAAGTACCACATGTGAGAGCTAGTGTTAAGAATCAGGAAAGTGCTCAGTACCTCAAAGGTGGTGGCATCAGAATACATAGAACAGAGACGGCTCTGCACGCTATCAGCAGCTCATTGTTTCAGTGATAGAGTATGGTTTGGGCCGGCCCACTTTATCTAACAGCCAAATAGAGAAGATGGAAAGCATGCAAAGTGAAGTCATGCGAACCATTTTGGGATCTACACAGACTCACAGAGCATACTTCAGAAAACAGAAACTGGCGTCCTACACGTAGTGGCTTGCATCACTTGATAAGACTCAGATCAGGAACAT